ATGTCCTAATTCTCTGATGGACTCGATCCACTGTGCGGCGCTCCGTTCGCGGCAGGGATTCAGGGCACCACCACGCTCGCACGTAATGTGTTTGTTTGTTAACGGGGCTCTACAGCATCAGCGGGTCGATTCTTGAATCTCAGTCGATATGATTTCGATCGATAAATAGCATTACTGAGATAGGGACTTATCGATCGAACGATAACTTTACGAGAAAAGAAGCGCGGACGACGCGACGCGGGGATCCGTAAACAAACACTGGCTCTTGCCGATCACAACTTCGTACGGATAGCTCCGAGGGTAATGCCAGGGACTCAATCCCTACCAGTATGGTAGTCGTCGGTTTTATTACATCCACGAGAGCTTTATTCTCTTCGTGGAGAGGTAGAAAGGAAAATCTCGTGAAATCTGAAGTTAAGGTGATTTGTTCCGGGTTCCAGGTCTGGTCCAACCTGGATGCGTATCTCGAATTGATTAAGTCGAACGTTTTGAAATACTTTGAGAAGAAATAGACCGTAAGTGTTCTATATCGGTCGAGCGGTTTTAAAAACTATAATGATAGCCAAAGTGCGAAACTACGCATCTCCGTTTGTTATGTCGCAGACCTCCTGGCATACATTATTTTTTCTCCAGAAAAATCGACGTAATCTCTTGAGAACTTTCTTGATTTTTCTTCTCTCAGCAAAATATTCTGTTAAAATTCCAAGTCATAAATTTGCTCGTCCCTCTTCGAAAAAATAAAACAAGAGCAAAAATGTTGAAGCACAGAAACGGAGACAGCGGCGGATCCAGCAACTTGGCAACATTGTTTTTCTCATTTTAAACCTATGGAAAGTTTCGATTTTTGGAGGGGCCAGGTGCTCCGGCATGAATCGATTATTTCACATAGATTTAATAGGAGGAATCCCGGTGTTGCCAAATTGCTAGATCCGCCATTGAACGGAGATATGTGGTTTTGCACTTTGGCCTTCTATCCTCTAGCGTTCTACCCACAACCGAGCTTTCAAACTGGACCAAACTTCTCGATTCGAATCAAGTTCCGAACTAACTTCTGTACGTTTCATGATGGAATATTATCCTCTGGTTTGCTGAAGTTTTCTTGATAGTATCATAAGTTCTGCAAATTAATGAGGAGGAGTAAAATTTTGATAAACCAGACACGCAACGCAACAACGATGCAACCGATGAACGTTAATTTTTAACTTAAGGATAAACTTCGGAAGCTTACGATGAAGTCAACTTGCTTTACATGAAATTTTGATAAGCAAATGTGCCTCAAAGAAATTTAATTCTTGCTTGTCTAGTGGTGCGATGGTAGAGATGTTGCATGTGTGAAGAATTTGCGATTTGACTGTTGATTCTTATGTAAAAGTTCGCGAGAAACATGATGGTGCCACTGGTTTTCTCTGAAATCATGTCCCAAGCTCAAATAAAGCTCTCAAGTTGAAACCAAAATGGAGGTGACATCCCTTGCTATCCTGAGAGTCCACTTCTACATCAAGACAAACTCTCCATGCAAAGATAGGGAGCAAATACTTTAGCAGGGTTGCCGTGTTTTCAGTTTTGGAGTTGGAGTGGCAACTCTGCTAATGTATTTGCTCCCTATCTTTGCATGGAGACTTTGCTTTGATGTAGAGGTGGACTCTCAGGGTAGCGTGGGATATTCCCTCCATTTTGGCCTCAACTTGAGAGCTTTTTTTGAGCGTGGGAGTTGATTTCAGAGAAAACCAGTGGCACCATCGTGTTTCTCGCGAACTTTTACTTAAGAATCAACAGTCAAATCGCAAATTCCTCACACATGCAACATCTCTATTACAGTGAGTGCGGGATGGTGATAAGTTAATCAAACGGAGATACAGAGCCATCAATAAATCGAGATCAAGTGCTGCGATTGGTCTACGTCGTCAAATAACCTAACCTTGAAGATTTGACGGCCCGATTTGATCGTAAAACATCAGCTATAAGTTGTATAGTTTCGTTCCCGTAGATTTTTGTTTTTATCAGGCACATATTTGTGCGTGAGGCTGCCAATTTAGATAGGTATTTTAAAAACTAAAATCACATGCCTCGGATGTTCGCATGTAACTCGTTCCACGTGCTGTTTGAGCCTCGACTCGTTCTTCGAAACTTCAATAACAGTTATTATCCCACGTATTGATCTTAACGAGACTTCAATTCATGAATGTGACCTACACTACTGTAGGGAAGGAAATCCCATCCATAGAATTCTCTGTCCCCACGGAAAAAACCGTGACAATAGGTGGCTGCATGTGCTGTGTGCAATATGATCATACTTCGAAGGGAATGAGGGATGGTTGATCATATTTTTCCCTTCCAGAAAAAATCTCTCATCCTCCCTATGCGCCTCGAACCGATCAGTTTTAAGGCTATTGATAACTGAGAACACCTTAAAAACAACGATCAGATCTCGAATTATGTGATTGAATTGGTGGCACAAGTCAAGGAATAAAAATTAGCACTACGCCGTCTAAACTTCTCACACTCATGACGTAATTGATACTATCGTTCGACGATGGTACAACCATGGTATGATGGTACATGGACGAGGCTACAACCTAATTTTTATCACTTAGTGGTAAAAATTAGGTTGTAGCCTCGCATGCATGGTAAATGATTGATAGAATTTTCAATTTTTTCATATTGGAAAATCTTCGGCAGTAGCTGTTTTCTGCTCGCCGTACTTAATTATTTGGTGCCTAGGTGGGGAAACTTAAATTCCTGAAATAAGAATTTCCATCGAAGAAATAAGTTAGTTTGGTAAGTGTAAAATATTAGTCCATTTATTGACCTTTTTACTTCATTTGATTGATGTTTGTTGATTGTGAAATGAAGGAACCGAAGATATTGGTTTGCGACGACGCAGAATTTTTGTTACACTTTTTTTCCTTATTAAAAAAAAAATAATCATTTTTGCGGAAAATTGTGAATGATTTCTCTAAATTTCTTCTAGAATATCCTCTGAAAATTATTTACAAAAATATTCAGTAATTTTCTTTTGAAAAATAAACTAGTTATGGAAATTTGAAACGTCAAAATGGAGATATGTGGTTTTGTGGTTTCATTACCGCTTCAGGTTGGTTAGATGAGTAAAAATCCCTTAAGTATCGATCAAGCCCAACTGTTGCCCTCGCACATTTGGTTTTCTAAGAGAACTCGACTTTCGGCGCTTTGGATCTTATATCCAAATAAAAGCTCTGGCTGAGCATTGAAATTGGGAATAATTCTCGGGCTCATTTCACGAGCGCGTTGAGGGTGGGACGCGAGCCTGCCCCAAAAGTTCCGGATCGGAAAATTGGAAATTGATTGGGTTTCTTCGAAAGAACACGAATATCTGAAAGTTTGATATACAGCTCGTGAGCCGTATTGAGACTTCAGACCGGCCGCAGCCTACCGTTTGCGGAAACAAATTTGGAATTATAAGTAGCTTGGCTCTGGCTGAAACTGGAGCAACCTCCTTATAACCGTAATAAAATTGATAAATGGTGAATTTTTCGGCTTGCCGTGTGATTTGATTTATGAAGTGCTGAGGAGTGTATTGGAGTTCCGAGAGTTTACTCCTTGCTCGCTACACGCACAATACCTGTAAATTAGTGGTTTCTTCTTGGCAGTGGCGTGGCGTGCTTTGCGATATATCGAATGATCTGCCATTTAAACCTATAGAAAAGTATCGATAAACAGGGTGTTCGTAGCGAACACTTTAATAATCGATTATTTACCATACGTTCAAATGGAGGAATATCGATAATCGATCATTCACGCCACGCCACTGTTTCTTAGCTACATTGCTCACGAGGATCGTTGAGAATCGTGAACAGACTTTTTTAAAACGTTCCGTTGTCTATTTTAGAATTTGTTGTTTGCGCCAAAATTAACGTTCTTCCGAGAAAACCTGCATAAGCAAAGTATTATCGGTGGCTAAGTCGAAAAATGCGTGTTTTCGCTTGCGACTTGTGACGTTGCAAGTTTTCGCGCATACTTCATTTTCTTAAGAAACAAATCTAAAATTCTCTCTCTCTACAATTTCCTTCGCTCAGTCGTGAATATCCTTGGAACGCTTCAAAGAGATATTGTGTTTGGGTTCTTGAGAAAAATTGAATATGATCGGATATTCTAAAACGTGGCAAAGGCTATACACAATTTTTTTCTAAAATCTTCGACACAGGCAGTGGCGATTTTGGATAGTTGGTAACATCGACTCCAGCCATGTTCATATTATGTTGGCGGCTCTTTTGAAACTTAAGAGTTCCATAACTTATTCAAATTTAAACTTCAAAATTATCCGTGTCGATGGTGAAACTGCAGAAATGCGTATTTCGGTTTGCGGCGTTGTAGACCTCCCGTCATACTTTATTTTCTACAGGGGGAAACCACTGAACGTCATTTTTTGAAAATTTCAGTGATCATTTCTATCTTAATAAAGAATATTCTGTGAAAATTTCAAGTCATGATGTTCTTTCAGTCTCCTTCTGAATAACACAAAATGAGAGGAGAGATTTCGAAACACCGAAACTCTGCCGTGCTAAGTAAAAACGCCGTATACGCATTCAAATGTTGCCATATTTCTTCCTTGAAAACCTATAATTTTGAAGAAAGTTACGAATATTTGTCCTTGAAATTCTTCGAATTTTTAGATCAAAGCACAAACGAACCTCTGTAAAAAATTGGAAGTGGAATATTCACAAAGTTTCCGGAAAATTCGTGATTTGTCAAAGGAAATCTGGCAACGCCTAATGGCTCATACGGCGTTCTTGCTTAGCACGGCATAATTAAGATACGCATTTTTTTAGTTTCACCGTGGATATTCTCTCCATCCAGGTATTCTAGAAAAAAAAAACGGTGTCGGCCAACTTTGAAGAATCGCCAATGAACACAGGGCTGCGAGGATGGGCTTATACGGGTTAGGGCAGATCTTTCAAGGATTTCCTGCATGATTGTGTACACAGTGAGAAATACAGGAAACGGATGACAGCTTCTCTAACCTGCTTCCTGAGCTTTTCTCCGCCGGCTGCGTTTCCTCTGGCTTCTGTTCTGGTTTCGACTTCTCATCCTCAGACTGTTCAGACGATTTCTCCTCCGGCTGCTGCTTCGGGTCGGTTCCTTGTCCGCTACCATCAGGACCTACTCCGGTCTTGTCTACCATCATTTGAGGATCGATCTGCTGTAAAAATAAAACAATAAAATCCATGGTTAAAAAAAATACTAGATAATATGCAACAAGGTATGCAGATTTGCCGTTCACACATACGCTCTTAGCGTGTTCTACAACAGCTTGAAATCTTGTGATTAGGTCACGTTCCTTCTTCACTGAAAAAAAGTAGCTTGGATCAAGCATGATAATTCTTGAATTTGCCGCCAAGAATTTTCTTTATCTTGCTTTAAGCTGACTTTTTCTTGATTCAAGAAAAATAATGCTTGGGTTAAGCAAAAAAGTAGCTTATATTAACCAGCAAAATTCTTGATTTAAGAAGAAGTACTTCTTGGCGGCAAAAAGTTTATTTTTTTTTCCAGTGTTCTGGGAAACGACCATATTATATGCCCTGACGAGTTCTGAAATATTTTACCCGAACCTCTGACTTCAGTTAAGGTTCCCTTAGGAGAGTCCTGCTGATAGGACGTTGAAACTTCAGTCGGTGCCGTAAAAATGGTCAAAGCTACAGGAACATCCATTCTTGCCAACTCTGGGGGATATGAAGAAATTCACCAGTCTATTCACCCAACGGACCATTAGATAGGTTACGAAAAGAGAGCATATCACAATACATGTCTCTTCATCACAATTTCTCGAAAATTCGGGTGGACACTTCGAACATTTCTAAATTCATTTCATAGGTTAGAATATAAGGGTATTTTATTGCGTCAATTAAAACTTCCCGCAAAAAAGAAAAACCCCAAAAAACCCAGCAAATTAAGCAATAAACTAATTCCTATTAGTTCTACAGCCGAATCATTTTTTGTGTGCTGAATTATTTTTGACGAATCTGGAGGTACTTTAGTTATCAGAGGACGAAGGTAATTTGCTTTAACAAAACTTGAGTTTTTCTTTTTTAATTTATTCCAATGTGGAAGTTCATCCTCAACGACAAATCTAACCTCCCTTGATTAAACGGGCGTAGCTGTTAAGCTGTTTTAACAAGAACAAATATTTTGTACAACTTTACTTGGACTGCATTTAACAAGTAGGGACTAAAATTATTTGCTCATATAGAAAAACATTTACATTGACACTGACATTGATATACTACCAACATGTCCTCTAGCCGCCACGACCAGGGACCGGTAGCATTGTTTTTAGCTTTTGTTTTTTTATATTTTTTAATTCTTTTTGACGGTTGATGAGGACGGGGAGATCGGTCGAAACGTCCCGGGATTTATAATTATTGTCCGTTTTTTCAGCCTCGTCCCCGCCTTTTCCCGCACTGGAAAAAAAACACATTGGATCTAGAGTCCAGACTCTTGAAAACATTGACAAGAAAAAATACTCTTGATTCAATCAGATTTAAACTTAAATCAAAAGGAAATCCGCTCAAATTAAGAGGCTAGGTTCTTGATTTACTCTTAAATCTGATTGAATCAAGAGTATTTTTTCTTGTCGACGTTTTTATGAGTCTGGACTCTAGATCCGATGTGTTTTTTTTTTTCCAGTGCGTCTATTTTATTATAAAAACATCTATGTACACGGAAAAAATTTAATGTTGATTCAGCATTTATACTGTTAAAAAAATGTCCGACAAGTTTCAAATGCTGATTTTACAATACAAAAATGCTAACATAACATTTTAATTTGTACGTTTTGCAGTGGGCGTAGTTACTTCAGCATTTGTTAAAATGTATAATCAGCATTTGAAACTTGTCGGACATTTTTTTGGCAGTATAAATGCTAAATCAACATTTAATTTATTTCCGTGTACTTGGGGAAAGTAGTGGTGCATCCGTTATTTCTAAATTAAGTTAGAAATTGTTGCTTCATTGCAAAATGTGGTCCAATTCTTAGCCTTCCCAGACGTTGATTCGACTCGAATAAATTGAGTTTGGTCTACGAACTCGGCAGCCGCGGGCCGGAGGCGAGCCGGCGGAGGACGGGTATCTCGGAGTGACGTTAAGGAGACGCCGAGGAGTCATGAGCGTCGGGGGAGCGCGAGTCGAGAGGGGAATTCACGGGTCATTCAGTAAATAAGACACTCGAAAATGTGGTCATTTCCGGTCAGAGCGTGCCGTGCGGACCCCGACTCGGTCGGGACCTTCCGTTCCGTCTAGCGCCCGGGTGAATCGATGTTCTGCTCCCCGGAAAATTTTCAACCGGGCCGCTGAGATCCCAGTGCTCGCACGCTCCGGCCAGGTGCTATAGATTTCGAGTCAACCTTGTAATCGAAGATTATATATTTTAGAGATCTCGCACTAGTAATAGTTACACAGCGAGACAAAGAATGCGTTTAATCTATAAAAACACGTTGTATGAGGTCCGTACTTACAAATAGTATTCATAGATTTACTAATAAATCGTAAAAAAATCAGAATTCAATTTCAAAAAATGAGAAGGGAAATGGGAATGAAAAATCGAGTGTCAACAAAGCCGAAGGTAGGAGAAACGTATTGAAGCCTCGTTTCTTAATCTTTCCCTCGAATCTGAGTGACTTTTCATTCACATTATGGAGCGGAGCATAGCGAGTTCAAGTCTCGCGCTCAAAGTGCCTTCAATTTTGCAGACGCAACACGGACATCCATCACGTACGTATAGTTGTATCTCTGCGCCGTCATCAGCGCGCGTCCTTTTCCTCGCTCTATCTCCATGTTGTGCTGGTTCTGTTTGCCTTATTCGTAGTAGGGCTTTGAGCGCCACGTGAGTAACACAGCCGAAGATACGAGAACCGTAATTGAGCCTCATTTCTTAAATTTTTTCCTAAATCCGAGCGCAAACGACTGATTTAATCGCAACAGGGAAATATTTATCGTCAAGCGCAAAAGGTACTTTCCTGACGCAACAAGTGCTTTTTCAGCTATACGATAAGCAGCAAAAATGTGATTTTGTAACAATATTATTGACTGCACACGAAAAAATTCACATTGGATCTAGAGTCCAGACTCATGAAAACAATGACAAGAAATAATACTATCGATTCTATCGGATTTTTGCTAAAATCAAAAGGAAAACCGCTCAAATTAAGAGACCTAGTTCTTGATTCAAGCAAAAATCCGATTGAATCAAGAGTATTTTTTCTTGTCAATGTTTTTAAGAGTCTGGACTCTAGGTCCAAGCGGTTTTTTTCCAGTGTAGTTAATTTATTACCACGACTAGCAACTAGGCTATCTACGTATGAGATCGGGCATTTATTTTAAATTTTTAAATTTAGGTTCTTGCTTCAAGAGCTTTAAAATTTCGGTAATTACTTCGGATCATCAGAACCTAAAGGATGGATATTATACTGTAGGAAGTAGTTTTACTGATGAGGCACACATTTTAGTTCCCAAATGCAAAAAAAAGTCTAAATACTCTCAGTAAAATGGACATACTGTCAGGCGCCCGACAAGACGAAATGTTTGATGCAACTATTCGGACTCTTGGGATGTGCGTGTGGCATAGTAAAAATTTGAAGGCGTTATGTTTCCTATAAGCTCGCAAGGAAAACATGGCATTACAACTTGCTTGCGACACATTTATTTAATGAACAAGCATCGGACAACTACGCCCCTTCCCCTCATTGAATAAAATAATATCGATATCTGTGTCCTCGGATATCGAGATTTCAGAGTTGATAAAAGTTTCATGCATCCTGGAGCGTAGGTATGAAAATTGACCAGGCGGGTGCCACATTTTGATGGCCAAGAGGCGAAACCACGTATCTCCGTTCATAACGTTGCAAACTTCCTATCATCAATTCCTTTTTTTTTATAAAACTAGTCACCGTGGTTTCGTGAAATCCTCCCTGATTTTTCCTCTTTATCAGCAGAATACTCTGTAAATATTTCAAGGTATAAAGTCGACTTATTTTCCTCTCAGAAATAAAATAGGAATGGAAATTTTCAGGCACTGCAGTGCAGATACGTGGTTTCGTACTTCAGCCAACGATTTGCAAGCTAGCAAGCTATCAAAGCCAGCAAGCGTTGAGAATCTAGGGTTAAGAGTCTCAAGGGTGACGGACGTGTTCAAGCTGATTTTTCTGTGATCGACGAAGCTTCGCAGCTCTTCCCCCCCCCCCCCCNGTCGCTCTCCTACTTTCCCGACACCACACACGTCTTCCTTGTCTTCGATGAGAGCTTTATTATTCACGCTTCACTGGGCATCGTTTCAAGAGCACCTCTCCCCTTCAGTGGCGTGGCGTGGTTTGCGATCTATCGATTTATCTGTCATTTAAACCTATGGAAAAGGATCGATAAACAGGGTGTTCGCAACGAACACCTTAATAATCGATCTTTCACCATAGCCTCAAATGGGGAAATATCGATAATCAATCAAATCGCCTCGTCACTGCTCCCCTTTCTATTGGACGGAGATGTGTTTATACACAATCGCAGTGAAAGAGCGTTACCCAGCTGTAATTGCAGTCAAAGTTGATCTTTAACTGACAGCCTTCGAGGAACATCACTTGTCAAAAAGGACTGCAACCTAAGTACTCGAATCACGGTGCTTAACCTCGTAAAGACAAAACGTGTCCATTTTGCCGAGATTAGCTTGTAGAGTAACAAATGTAACGCTGAAACCGTCTTGTACAAGTTCCTATTTGTTAATGTATTGTGAGAAACTGGCTGAAACTGGCTATGGCATGAAATGAATCGCTATGTTTATTACTCGGGCTCCTAAATAAAAAAGGACGTATTATTTTCCACGAGGGTCATATAGAAAGTATGGTCTCTTCTTCCAGCCAGTACTGTTCAATCAAAAGGTTTTGATAGTTTGGAATTGCGGGCATTGGATCTTTAGTTCCTCGTTTCCAACGTTCTCTGTGAAAATGGAAGGGGAAAACTGAGAGTTCTCAAGATGTTCTATTGAGGGTTAGGAATGCGGTAAAAAATGGGGCCAAGAAACATCCGGAATCAATAATAATACCAGATAGAACTGAAAAATTGCGCCGAAATTGATAATGCACAGCAGGGTTGCGAGTTTTTGGATGATAAAACCATTTTTCCAAAGCGTCTAATAATCGAGTGTGAAGTCAAGGATCC